ACTAATAGAGAATAGTGACACTATGGCTTTCCAATCCTATTTGTCGGAAGACATCCAACATGTTTTCTTGGTTGTTTTGGTCACAGGCTCCACTAGAGACAAAGTGCAGACACACTGTTCTTGTGGCAGAAATCTCATCAATCAGCTTGTGAGCAGTGTGAGGAATCAGGAAAGCGGAGAAGACTATCATCTTCTGACACTGAGGAAAGGCTAAATGGGAAGATGAATTTTAAAATGAAAAATGAAAAACATTCAACAAAGGATTGGGTGGTTTGCAGCAGAAGAATTGAGAAAGGTGGAAGGAGAGAAACCATTTTCTACTGTGCGAAGTGCAAGAGGAAGCCAGGACTTCACCCTGGAGATTGCTTCAAGAAGAATCACACTCAAAAACTCATAAACAAAAATAAACAAAAACACTTTTTTTTTTTTGCAGTTTTTGGCCAGGGCTGGGTTTGAACCCGCCACCTCTGGCATATGGGGCTGGCACTCTACTCCTTTGCTCCACAAGCACTGCCCCCCAAACACTTTATTTTATGTAACCTGAAATAGATAATAAAAATCATCAAGTGACTTCATACTTGTTTTCTTCTTTTAAAACTGAAGAGAAGTCCAGGTGCTGTGCTTACACCTATAATTCTGGCACTTGAGGAGGTGTGGAGGCAGGTGGATTGCTTGAGCCCAGGAGTTCAAGATCAGCCTCAGCAAAAACAAGACTTTGTCTCTACTAAAAAGAAAAAAAAAGGAAAAATCAACTGAGCATTGTGGTGGGCACCTGTAGTCCCAGCTACTTGGGAGGCTGACGCAGGAGGATGGTTTGAGCCCAGAAGCTGGAGGTTGCTGTCAGCTGGGCTGACACCTGGCACTCTAGCCTGGGCAATGGAGTGAGTCTCTAGGTAAAAAAAAAAATAGAACAAAACAAAACTATAGGATAATTACAAGTAATCCACCAACTTCTTTCTCACCAGAAATAAATAAAAGCTGGGGAGTATGCAGGTGGCAGGAATATTGGATTAGATAAGAAAATACAAGTAAAATAACCAATGCTGTCCAAAATCTCCACCCTGAGTCGTCTGTCACTGAGCAACAGCTCAAGGCACATTCACTCCCTCCACTGCAGAGTGGTCCTCCCCCAGATAACTTGCTTAGCTGCCTAGTTTAGAAAATATCTAAGAGTGTTTCTCAAAAAATGTTTGTCAGTAAAACTGGAAAGATAATGTGCAGTGACATTTTCTAATTCTTCTTGCTGAAGGAAGAAGGGAAGCCTTGAGGCACAGGTTGAACTCAGGAAGCACTGTAGAGTCAGCAGCAGGGATGAGGAAGAAGGTCTGGATGTGGGGAGAGGTGAGGCAGCTGTTCTGGGCTCACTAACTCATTTAATCCTCACATAAGTCTGCAAGGAGGGTGGTATTAATTCTGTTTTTAAAGATGAGGAACCAGGCTTAAAGGGGTTAATTTCTCCCAAGGTCACATAAAAGGTAAGTGGTAGAGGTAAGGGAGGGGAGATTGTTGCTACTGCAGAAGCAAATGTTGGGCTGCACAATGAGGTAAGGATTGCCTACCTTAGATTCAGCTTTGGGATCAGACACACTTCTTCCAGTCTTGCCTTTGCTGAATACCAATTGACAGAGCAACTTTGAGCACTTATCTTCTCTGGGCCTCAGTTAACTCATCTGGAAAATGGGAGTAAAAATATCTACCCCATTGATGGGGTTCAATGAGATGAAATATGTGATACTTCCTTCAGAACATTAGTTCTCTTCTGCCCCTTGCTGTTCCCTACAAGGAGAAATGCCCCCAAGGAATTTTTGACCTGTCTAGATTTATTGCAGTGATGATAGCTTTTGTTTCGTCCATGCAATAAACTTTGCATGCATTTTCCAAGTCAATCCTGGTTAGGAAAGACCAATCCCCACCCCATCACTCTGGTAGGTGAAGAAATCATCTCTGAAGGACTGAGAAATCTTCCCAAGGTCACAGAGCTCCAACTGGGGCTGGGCTCCAGGTCACCTGACTTCTGATTAAGGTGCAGTCCCTCAGCACCACATTCACTGCATTGTGAAGTGATGTACCTGTCCGTCAAAGCTGAAGGCTAGAACAAGTTGCTGTGACAGCAATTTCAGGTTGAATTTCTATTGACCTGTTAGTTGTCCACTCCTGACTGAGTGATCAACTATCTCACCCTTTGTGTGTACAGTGTGGGGTTTCAATAATGAGTCAGGCGGAGACCATCCATCAGTGTCACCTGCTGTGTGTTTGGAGGCCTTCTTGGAGACAGGATTAGGGCAGAAGCAACGTGACCCACAATCCACAAGCTGAGAAGCAGACTCACATAACATTTGAATTGTCACACCACAAAGACTCAGCTACTTAACATGGAATATTGGTAAATTATTAAAAATAATAAAAGATAATCAAAATTATCTAAGATTTACTATTCATCATTATTTAACCTTGCACACTCAGCTCTCTACACCAATTAATTTCTCTCTGCCCTTCTTACTGTCACACGTACGTACACACACAGAGTCATTCTCAGGTTCAGATTTGCTGTTGTAATTTATCTTGACTTCCACAGAAAGCAAGGCAAATGTTAAATCTTTCTCTCCATTTAAATTCAAATCAATAATTTTTGAGAGCCTCAATACTAAGAGAAAAGCTCCAGAGTAATGCTCAGTTAAAATGCTGCACAACCAGCCTCATTTCCATCCCAATATCTTAAGCTCCTGACTGCTAAACCTTATGTAGTGGGAATCCTTTGCTTACTATTCCCCTCATGTATGAGCTGCGTGATCAGCTTCTCAAATGTGAGTCGTGCTTTATGCCAAGGTGATCTCAGGCTATTATACACATTAGACAGATTTTGCGTGTAGGAAGAATAAATCTCAATGACCCTAAAATCTTTCCCTCATAATCAGTTTTCTTTCCTATAACTGCATATCTCTGAAGACTATCTGGAGCTTTACGGCAACAAATAAGTTAATATAGAAGAGAAAACAGATGGGCTTGACTGCGTTCTGGGATTTTTATAAAGCAACTCATTTTGCAAAATGTAAGTGAGGTTTTGTCTACAAATTCCCCAAAGGAGTGAATAAAGAATGGGAATTTGGGTCCCAAAATAACAAAGAAGGACAATAATTAAAGTCCCAACAAACAAGTAGCCTGAGAATCCGAGCACTGACTTTGCAAATGCTAGAACCAGAGTGATAACTAACTCAACACATGATGGTGCACATGTCAGTTAACAGCTCCACAATGGGTTGGAGTGTTCATATGCCTCACAGGTTTCATGGAAGAATATCTATTCAAAGTGAACATGTTATCTTTACTAGCCACTACAGAGTTTTGTGCCTTGTCCTAAAGAAAAGTTGAAAGCTCAGTTCAATTTAAAAAAAAAAAATTCTCAACATCTGACAACTTATGTGATTCAGGACTATTTTAAAGTGATTTGCTAGGGGCCAGATGGAGGTCAGATAGGAAGGGAGAAAGACCAGTACTGTGTGTTCTTTAAAAGCAGAGAGTAGAATGGTGGTTACCAGGAGCTGGGCAGTGTAGACGGGGTGGGAGGTTTGAGGGGGTTGGGGTAGGAAAGGGGGAGAACATTGGTTAAAAGATACAAAGTTTCCCTTAGACAGGAAGAATAAATTCTGAAAATCTATTGCACAACATAGTGACTATAATTAATAATCATATCAAGTATATTTGAAAATTACTAAAAGAGTATATTTTAAATGTTATATCACAAAGACGCTAATTCTATAAGGTAATGGATTTGTTAATAATTAGCTTGATTTAATCATTCCACAATATATAAGTATATCAAAACATCACATTATATGTATAAATTCATAGTTTTCTCATTTAAAATGATTAAATAAACAATAGATTGTTTTAAAACACGATGTTCATGGCAGCATTATTAATATACCACAAAATATACACAACTCAAATGTCTATCAGCTGATAAATGGATACACAAAATGTGCTCTATCCATAAGTGGAATATTATTTAGCCATAAAATGCAATAAAGTATACTGTTACATGCTACAACACAGATGAACCCTGAGAATTAAGCTGAGTGAAAGAAGTAAGACACAAAAGGCCAGATGTCGTATTATGCCATTGATAAGAAATTTCCAGAAGAGGCAAATCCACAGAGACAGAAAGTAGGTTAGTGGTTGCACAGGGTAAGCAGGTGGTGGGCAATTGGGACTAGCTGCTTATAGCTATATGGCCTCTTTTGGAGGTGATGAAAATATTTTGGAATTATGTAGTGGTGATATCTGGACAACATAATGAATATACTCTATCACTGAAGTATATGCTTTTAAATGGCGAATCTTACGTGAAATATATTCCAATTTTTAAAATTGCTGTATTTAGAAAAAAGTAAAGAGATTTAGTAAGATGGCTTTGGGTGCTACCTAGACTAGCAACATCTTATAACTCAGAGACAGAAGGTACCATTGAAGGGGGCGCCCATGATGAGCTATATACAAGCCAAGAAGGTTAGTTTGCCAAGCAAATAGAAGGAGCAGATCCAAGACAACTCGCAACCCCACAGCAAAGCTCTCCAAGTCCTAGCATGGATTCTTGTGAGTTCAATGAATGTCCTGCCTTTAGGAAGGCATACTTGTACCTATTTAATAGAACCCTCACTTTCATTTGACATGGTAAGAGACAATTTCTGAGGCTGGGCTCAATGGCTCACTCCTATGATCCCAGCATTCTGGGAGGCTGAGGCAGATGGACTAATCACGTAGGCTGAAGAGTTCAAGACCAACCTGAACAAGAGTAAGACTCTGTCTCCACTAAAAATACAAAAAAAAAAAAGGGAACCAGGCGTAATGGCCAGTGCCTGTAATCCCAGCCACTCAGAAGGCTGAACTAAGAGGATTGCCTAAACCCAAGAATTTGAATTTGCTGTGACCTATGATGATGCCATGTCACTTTACCCAGGGTGACAGAGACTCTGTCTCAATAATAAAAAATAAAAAGGATGATCCTTTTGTAGTTCATAAGCATGAAGATTGGGTTTTCATGCGCATGTGTGAGATGCGCCTCCCAAAATCTTGTTACGACATCAGCACATCACCCATCTGACATGAAAATAATAATAATAAAATAAATAAAAATTAAAAAGAGACAGTAACTGTTACTTGGTACCAAATAATCCCTAAGACAAACACCAGGTACATGGTAATCCAGTGAAAATACTTGTTTCCCTCCCAACCACACCAACAATGTCTAAATTTCATTTTCTGGGTTTCTCAGAACATCCATATGAAAATTAAAAGACCCTTAAATGCCAAGTATCTAATTCTACAGAAGAAAGCTTCCCCCTGGGCAGCTCTGAGCCCCCCATGGCAGCAGCTTAAGGCAGCATACATCTAACACACAACAGGCAGAGAAGGGACAGCAATGCTCATCTCATCGGGCTCCTCAGTCAGCTCTTGAAGGACCACACCCCTCCCCTGCAGAACAGCTGCAAGTTGCCCAGAGAATTCCTCTAAAGTTTTCTCCCTCCACCCTATCTACCCTGAGTATCCTTATTTTCCACTAAAGGCCTAAATGGTTAATGTTGGGGACGACAGTTGGCCAAATCTAGTAGAAAGAATTAGGTCTGTCCTTTTTTTAATAATCACCTACGTAAGATCTTAGCTTTTCTCCCAAAATATAATATACTGTGATATATGATAGGGAACAGACTTGGTGAACACTCTCCCTAATAGCATCCATGAAAATTAACTTTCATTGATTTTTCATTAAAATTCTACATCCATAACTACTTTGTATAACGATCTTCTCCATAAGGCTGACTTTGAGTCATGAGCAGGCAGGTGCATAGGTACATTTAGAGAAGAAAGCAAGATCCTTTTAAGGATTCTGGGGGATGCCTAAACTATTTACCCTAAAGATTATAATCTCCACATCTTCCACAGACACAGTTCACAAAAACCAGCACTTGCAAAATTAGGATGTTGCCTATGAGGTCTTTGGACCTTGGCCTAAAACTAATTTGAATAATTACATTTCGTTCCACCCTGAGTCAGTAGAGGCCTCTGATTAATAATCAGCATTTGCTACATGCCAGTGAAGTGTTTGCTGCTATAAATAGACAGAGTTAACAATCTAATTAACTATAGGAACTGGCAAGATGAACACTCCATTCAGAGAGAAAGAAAGATCACAATATTTTTAAGGTCTGTGAGCACAGAGCTGTCCCTGACACTAATCCATTAGCAGTTATTGTCAAAGGTCACTCTGTTAACCCTCATTTTCAAAAACCTCTTCGTAAAGCTTCCACCTTTTCTTCCTGGGGACAAGCATCTCAGCAATAAATATTCTATAATGATACTACGGAACCTTGAGGCCCCCAGGGATAAGACATTACTGGAGAAGCATATGTCACTGTCATTCTGACACTTCCACCCACTGATAGTGCACAGCCCTTGGCCTTGCCATCGTCAGTGACCAAGCCCTCTAAATCTAGCAGCCAGGCAGGAAAAAATTCTGCCATTGCAATCTTTCATTACAGTGCTCAACTCTCTTGGAATCTCCATGATGTTTTCATCTACTAAGTTGTAAGGAAATAAAACCCAGTATAGAGCAGGCCTCCTTGGACAAAGAGTGTTCTATTAAGTGATTTATAATCTGAAGTTTACAGTCTGGTTTCCTTCTGAGAGTGTCTTAATTTGGTCTACTTTTGAATGAAAATGAACATTTTGACAACAGATGATTTCTGTCCTTTTTTTCTTTCGTATTTCATTTGTGGTAATCTGTCTCCCTCTCGATACCTGAGTACCAAGCCAGTTAGTCTGTGACCTCATCGTTTATCCAATGTTTGGCCTTTATAGAGTGTCTCAAGACAGGATCTTTATTGTTCATACATTTTTAAAATGCATACAGCCACCCAGTGGCTAGGAGCCCAGAGTCTAGGGTCCATCTCCACATTTGGCCTTAAACGATGTATTTCTCTCCTTTCTTACTGCCAAGACTCTCTGTGAAAGTAGTTCATATCTGTTGTCTGGACTTCTACCTTTAATGCTGTGTCAAATGCCACCAATGGTGTCTTAATGACAAAACTTCATTTCAATTTCCATCCTCATAAGGCTTCCTTCCCTTGGTTCAATTAACATCCTTTTGATTTCCCTTAACCTTGGTGTTAAGGTTGCCAGATTTAGCAAATAAACTTGAATGTAAAAGTTAAATTTGATTTCAGATATTATAAATATGTATTTTTATCCTAAAAATTATTTGCCATTCACCTGAAATTAAAATTTAACTGGGTACCTTATATTTTACATGACAATTTTACTTGGTAATAAAATACCTCTGCCTCCTTTCCTCCAGGCTTTGGTCTTCCTATTATTTACTTTATCCCCACTGTCCCTCTCTGAATTTATCTTTTCCACCAGGCCCAATCACCATATTCTAAATCACCTCTCTCCTTCTTCTGAGCACCTTTAACATATTCAGCAGTTTTATATGCTTCCTTGCCACCTATATCTCTTCTATTGTCTTAAATTATTATTTGACTCTTTCATGTGTTTATTATTTTTCTTACACATGATTATTATTTTCATCTTACACATGATTTTAAATTCCTGGAAGGCAGAAAGAATTCCTCTTTGTATCTCAAAGCCATGGCTTCCATAAGTGGACTGTCAACAGATGTAAGAAATTCCTAGTCTTTATTTTCTGACTAGCAATGATCAAAATGATCATCAAAATGATCTCTTATATTTTTATATGATGCTGCCTGGAACTACTTTTTAGTCTGTTCACTCTTCCACTCTCCTGGATGCCATATCTCTTCCCCCTCCTCACTCTTAGCTTTGACCTTGCTTCTGACATTGCTGAGAAAACAGAAACAATCAAAGAAAAACTCCATGAGCTCTCACTTGTATGACAAACAACCTACCAGGGTCTGTACCCATATATTCTGCTTCCTCTTCCATGACAGTGAATCCTCTCTGAGCTCCTTTCTCAGTCTGACCCCTCCCTTTATGCCTGGATCTCATCTCCCTCACTAACTCAAGGACATTACTGCAGCAATTCCCCCTTCTATCCCCTTTATAACTAATTTTCTTCTTTCTAAGAGATTATTCCCATTAGCATGCACTAGTATTTCTCCTTTCAGTGAGCAAATAAACCAACCCCCTCTTGACATCAAATTACCCTCCAGTTATCACACTATTTTCCTGCCTCTTTTATGGCAGAGTTTCACCGAAGGGTCTGTACTTTAATTCCACAAACTCTCCTACAATTTTCTCATGAACCCATGGCCATCAGGATTTTGTCTCATCTCCACCTAGCACTGCTTTTGTCAAGATTACTTATTAATGACTTCCAAATTGCCATGCTAAATGGAAGCAACTTCGTCCTCACCCAACTCCACCACTGATCAGCAATATGAATTGAGTTCATTGCTTTAGCATTTGCCCCTTTCTCTTCTGTGTAATGAGTTTGAAACATTCCGGCATCTTCTCCCAGTTCTGGATCACCACTCCCTTTTGATTTTCCTCACACCTCATTGGCTGCTCCTTCTCAATCTCTTCTGCCTATTGCTTTTCATTTCCCTGACCCTGAAAAGGAGAAATGTTCCAGGGCTCAAACTCAGAAACAATTTTTTTAAATCTATTCTCACCCCAGGTGATCTAATAGACTTAAACACTTTCTATATACTAGCAATTCCCAAGATTTTATCTCCAGCCTGGACCTTTTCCCTCAATTCCAGATTCATACGTTCACTTGGGTATCCAACAGATAGAAGTTTGTGATAAATCTTGAGTTAAAATGTCCAAAACAAAACTGGTTTTCCTACCCTTATCCCAAACCTGCTTTTCCCAGAGAATTCACCACCTTAATAACTCACAAGTAAAACAACTCTATGTAAACTCTGTTCTTCTTGTTGCTCATATCAAAAACCTGCGAGCCATTCTTGACATATCATTTGGTCTACCTGCCAGTTCTACCCACAAAATGTACTTAAAATCTGACCATCTTTACCAATGGCCTTTGTTTGTCAACTTCCATCTTCATTCTCCTCCCATCTGTTCTCCACACAGTAATCATCATGATCTTTGTAAGACTTACCAGGTCATTCTCTGTGCAAAAACCTCCAATGGCTTCCCACTGGAGTAAAAGCCAAAACTCCTGTCATTGATCTACAAGGCTCATGTGCTAGGTCTCCCCCATAACTTTCTGACCTCAAATCTACCCCTCTCCCACACTGGATTTCGTGTCGTGAAAGGTGTCAAGCAAACTTTCACACTTTTTATTTGCTATTTCCTTAGCCTGAAATAATCTTTCCCTAGATATCCATTACTTTCTTCACAGCTCTGCTCAAAGGTCACCTTATCACAGAAGCCTTTTCTGACTACCTTCTATAAAATAACATCCTTATTTCCCTCTCCCTGATCCATAATCCCCATCCCCAATACCCTGTTTAATTTTCTCCATAGCAATTTCTCATCAGGATAGAAGTTTGTTTTTATGCTGTCTGTCTCCCCCATTAGAATGTAAGCTCTATCTGGACAGGAATTCGGCACACTTAGACCCATGTCTAGCACCTGGAAAGTATTCAAGAAACATTTTTTCTGTATATAAATGAATAGTTAGAACTGTATACGTCATGGATTAATCTTCTCTCAACCAAAGTACTCTAAAAGAGTCACATGTTTAAGTGTCAGAAAACAAAGATTCATTCAACAAATACACTTTGAACATTTATTATGGAATGAGTGCTTTGCCAAGCACTATACAGCGGAGCATATAGAGTGGAGAGCAAAAGTCCTGTCCCTGGGACTTACTAGCCCTCTTGCTTTTGGCAAATAAACAGCTTCTCTAAATATTGCATTAATCAGCAACATTAGATCAAGAAAACTATCCACCTTGTAGGATGATTGGGTAGCACAAATATGACAGATGTTTTTATCTGAACCTGTTTTGTAAACATTCAAATCCTACAAAAATGTAAGTCCTATATAAATTTAAGTTATTACTGATCCTCATAACAATTTCATGCAGCAGATGGCAATATTTTTACAATAGATTCATTTTTTAATTAAAAAAAAAACTCAACGGTTGAATGATTTCCCCC